GCCTGCTGTTGGTTGTGGGATACCCCCTCCAGCAAACTCAGCTCGTTTAACGCTCAAGGTTTATTCCTTGTATGTGAAGCCATGACACTTCAGATGATGTGGTGGTATTGATTGCTGGTGGCACTGGGTGTTACTGGTCTCTTCCCACAGTGACAGCAGTCAGGGCTTGGTTGCAGGATGGTGGTTCCTCCTCTAGATTTTGGGGCAGTGGGAAAAGAGTTCCACCAAAAAATTCTTCTGTCCAGGCTGGTGAAATTACTTTTCCCTGAGCATGTCCCACCTGTTCCCCTCAAAATAAAAGCCAGTGACAGCCTTGTCTGGACATCTTCCTCCTCAGAAAGGAAATGTTGTCCCTCCTCCTGTTCACAGGTGTGGGGATCCAGCACAGGCAGTTCGTGGCAGTGGTGTGAAGGAGGCTGCTGTCTCCCTGGGCTGGGGAAGGGGCAGTAGGGGCAGGGAAGGGCTCAGTCCTTCAGTGACCCTCAGTACCATGTGCTGCCGGGGTGGTTGAGAAGAAGAGGAAGATGGGCTACATAGAAATGGAGAGAGAAAATAAACTATTGGAGCCAGTGAGGGTCAGAAGAGTATTAAGTCAAGAGGCATGAAAAGAAGGTGAAAAAGCTGTTTTCTTGTTTTCCATAGCATTAGGGACAATGCCCTTAGAGTGCTTTGCTGATCCCCTTTATCACAAGGGGTTTGGCAAGAGGAAGCGCAAGGGGGGAGCGAGGCACCGGAAGGATCTTTGCTTCCATCCCAAAGGCAGTTTGTAATCTGATTCCTGAAATGGGTCTTCAAGCTGCAAGGAAACTGTAGCTTTTTTTTTTTTTTCCCTTTAAATAGCTTAGCACCTTTTAAACATGGCAGAGTGTTCTGGGAGCTGGGCCAAGGCCCTGCCCCATGGTTCCCATTGTCATTAGGTGTCATCTTCTGCCGAAGAGGTGTGAGGTCATCCCACGGCTGTCCCCAGGGGTACTGACCATCCAAGTCTTGCTTTGCTAGAGGTCAGTGGTACAAGGGAGTGGGGAGAAGACAGGGGTTGCTGCAGTGCAGTGGGTCTCAGGTAGGACACAGTCCTGCTGGCACAGCCTCATTACTGAGGCCAGTTATCCTTCCTGCTGTGCTTTGCTGTTGCCAGTTTCTAGCACCTGGTCTTGCACTGCATGGCATGGATGTGCCTGGGGTGTGAAAGCAGCCAGGAAGCAGTGAGCTCTTTGCCTCAGAGGGCTGGGGTGCTTCTTGCCTGTTTGTCCATCCTCCTCTTCAGCCCCCCAATTCCAGGCGTTGGTGTGCAACTGGCTGTGTGTGGGACTTCCTCAAAGCCAAAGCTTTGCTGCATTGGAGAGGAATCCAGATGCAGTCTTGTCCTCTTTTCACAAGACTGTAAGTCAGTGGCAGCTGGGAAGTGATATGTTCCTGTCTAATTAATTATTTTCCTGGGAATAAAAGACGATGTTTTCTGTTTGGTCTCTGTAATGAATCCGTCATTTCTTTAGGTATGATATGCAGACAAACGTGGAGAAGCAGCCGGTGTCCTCAGCTCTGTGTTCACATTGGTGTCTGGCTGAGCAGCTTCATTCTGGGCTGAGAAGCAGCTGAGATCTCTGGTTTTACTATGGGACTGTTCCTTTCCCATGGGAGACAGGAGACTCATCACTCCTCAGAAACATCACGAAAACTGCTGACCCTGAAAACATGGAGTAATCTGCCAGTTCCAGAGTGTCTCCCTTGTCCTTTCCTCCTGCAGCTGTTTCCCAAAGAGTTGACATAAACTCAGAGCACTTTTGAGTTCACAGAGCCTCTACATCAGCGACTGCTGCAAAGGCAAAAACTTTCTCCTCCATGCTGCAGTATGAGAGCTGCAGTTGCTCCTAATGGATTTCCTTCTCCTTTGGTTGTTGCCCATGAGCAGCGCAGGATGGGCTGTGGTACAGCACCCCAAACAAACTCCTCGGCTGTGCCTGCCAGCCCTGTGTCTGGGGCCTGGGAGGAGGCACTGCATAACTTGGTGTTCTTGCCACATATTGCATGTGGGGTCCTCTCTATCACTGGGGACAGATAAGACCAGGTTTTTGAGTACTTTGGATATTAACTTGACAGTAATGGGTTAATGGTCAGACTCAATGATCTTAGGGATTCTTTTCCAACCAAAATGATTGGATGATTCTGTGAAGAAACTGATCAGCTTGAAGCACTTGTGTTTGGATGAGGGCAAAATACAATCCTTGTCTTTATCTGTATAAAGACCTTTCCAATATATCTAGTTAACATGCTGGAGAAAAAGAACTATTTGTTAAGAGAGACGTGCTTGTTGAGCACTCAGTGCTGCCCACATACACAAATCTGTATTTTTTTTTAATAAAGCGTTATTTCATAGGCTCCTCATCCAAATGTGCCGTTTCTTCTCAGTCAATAGTAGGCAGGGTTAGGCTGACTGCTCCTCAGAGCCACCAGTGCCTTTCAAATGCCAGGTGTTCCTACTTGTCACAGAGGAGGCAAGGGGCACCTCAGAGGGGAGGACTGGGGTCCTGTGTGTCATCCCCATACCGTTGTCTTACCTGTCCCTGCAAGCAAAACACTCAAATTCAAGCTGCCATCTCCTTCACAAGGGACACTGCATCATTCAGCAGTTTGGTTATTAGGATCTTGGGGTAGACAAGGTGTTACAGATAAATGGGAGAGGCTTTTCTGCCCACCCATCCTCACTGCTGTCATCCTTCCTCTGTGGCAAAGCTTTCCTAACTTTTTATGCGATTGTCCCAAAAGATGACAATAAACAGTTCCTGTTTGTGGGCAAAAACAATGATAAGAACTGTTATGGTGGACTGAGGGAAGAGGGAAAGGGCAGCCCCATCCCTGCACCATGATGGAGTGGCAGCTGTAGGATTAGCTCTTTCTTGCATAACTCAAGGGAAACTTTCCATAAACCACTGGCACCACTCTGCAGTATGAGTTCAGTCTCTACACTTCTACATTGTTTCTTTCTTTTCCCCCTAGAGCTCTGTTGTTTTCAAATGTTTAAGTGCCTGTGAAACACCTGTGTGCTTGAACATGGTGCTGTCAGCAGGGTCTGCCTGCTCTGCTGGGGTAATCTGTGCCTCTCAGAGCATCTAGAGAGGGGCACTTCAGAACAGAGAAGCATCCACAGTGGGAGAGGATCACACAGAAAGCACTCAAGCAATTGGCACATCTGGAGATTGTGCCAGTTTGGAAAGGCACAAGAGGAATTTTTCATTATTCTTCATGTTTGGAGTGACTGATGAGGACGCACATGGCCGGTGCAGGCTGCACCTTATGCAGGGTGAAAGTGTGCATGTTTTACTCCTGGGAATAGCCCAAAGGTAAAGATAAGCTATTTCTTTCCTCAGGTCAGTAGTTGTCCCTTAATCAGATGCCAGGAGACTACCAGGGGAGTACTTCTGCCTCTTCTTGTTCCTTACCACTGTAGGTGAATGAGACTTCGAGTCCTCCTCGCTCCTCTCTGAGCTGGGGTCCTCCAGCAAACCTCTTGCAGAAAAAGCAGGAGAGTGCTGGGCACCCTGTCGGCCAGCAAAGAGTAGGGTGTGAGTGGAAGAGAGGAGGAGACCTCCATGCTGAGAACACTCTGAATTTCAAAACTTTCCAAAGTTGTTCATCATCCCAGAGCAACCAGTTGACTGTTCTCCCTGAACAGACTTGGCTCATCTTCCAGGCAATCATAAGGAAGCAGGGCAGAACAAATGGTTGACCTGGGGACTTTGCTGCCTTGTCTATTCTTCTAACAGGCTGTATCTGAAAAGCACATGGTGAGGGTTTGATGCTCAACAAGGAGCTAATTTGGCCTATAGTCATCTACCATGTTGCACAGTATTCATTCAAGTGCATAGAGACAGAGAGAAATCCAGCTATGTGTTGTTCATGCTGGCATTTTCCACCAAGGGGATATGGTACACATGGGAACATATCAATACTTCAGCTATTTTATACCAGTAGTTTTAAATTTCTATTTCAGCTAATGTAGAGAGTCAAAGAAACTGATAAACAGACAGGAAAAAAATACCTATAAAATCTTGCTTTGCAATTAATCTGATAAAGGAAATATATAGACTGTAAACCTTGTTTCTCATCAGGCTGATTCACATTTGCATAACTCAGACTCCTCTGTCCCTCGCACTGTTAACTTCCCCTCACATCACCTACCTCTGTCCCAAGCCAGTATAAGGAACAATGTTTTTCATTTATAGCAAGAGAGGAGATGTGTACACTACCTATGCTAGCATCTCAGAACAACTGAAGAACATCTTTATAAATCTATTTATAAAGATAAAACCATCTCCAAACTCTCCATTCATTGCACTATTGCCAAAGATAAGCTAAGACAACTGAAATCCGCTGGCATGGGAAAGCAGGGAGGCCTAATGCTGCCACAGTGACCTGCACATGGGTGGTGCTACATTTGCCAGGACCATGGTACAGACCCTTGCCTTTGTGAGTGACCCTCTTGACTGCAAACTGGTCAAACCCTGAGCTCCTTCTCAGCCTGCAGTCAAAAGAGGCCTCTCACATGGGATATCTGAGTCTCCAAGCAGGGAGAAACGAAATACTCGAAAGGCAAACAGCTTGAGTCTGCTGCTCACACCCCAGTGCACCTCATCCACCATCTAATATGGATGTGTTCCCTCCCAACATCTTGATCATGGGAAAAGATGCTACTTTGGGCTTTGGGTGAAGAGTCAGCAAAAGCTGGAAGTTCATGGGGAATAGGAATGCTTCATACACCCTTATGGATATTTCCATTGGCTTGGCTCAGTGCCATGATCTTCAGACTCAGTGGTTTGGACTCACATTGGGCTCAGAGCTGGGCCAGCCTGTCCAGCAGTTCAGGAACTCATGAGCTTTGTGTCTTCTATCAGGCCCCCTGCACTGACTCCAGCTGTGGCCTGAGCTTTGGAGAAGAAAGAAGTTTAGACAGGGGACCCGGTGTTTGGTTTTGTATTGCACTGCCAGACAAGAATATCCTGTCGTTACGTGGAATCACTGAAAACTTTAATAGCATCCCTAAAACCTCCCTCCCCTCCCAAAGCATTTTTCTGGCTCTTAGCATGTTAGGGACTTAGCATGCTACAGACTCCCGCAGCAGAACTTGCAGGATTGAGTGGTCTTGGCAGAGTAGCTGCAAAGGGCATTGTGTTTAATAAAAGGGCTAAACTTTACAGTTAGGGTTTTCCCTATGTCTTGAAGTGAGATTTGGTCTTTGGATGTTAAGTGCTGGGCTAATGAACACAGAAAATACAAACTGGCTCCCTGCGTCCCTCTGGCAGTAAGCAGGCAGGCACTTTTCTCCTGCCCTGGGACACTCGGGGCAGATTCCCTGCAGATTCCTGCTGTCCTTACTAAGGAGGCATGATTTGCAGCGGTGCTGGGTGCCTGCAGGTGCTGCCCTCCGCAGGGGCAGTCCCGGTGGCTCAGCACCGCTGGGAATCAGGCGAGGGGGTCCCGGCACGGGCGAGGGCAGGGGGAGCGGGGCAGGGGGGAAAGAGGAGCGGCGGTGCTTGCTGATGCTCAAACATAGGTCTTCCAATGGAGGGACCTGCCGCAGGGCAAGGGCTCTCGGGCCCCACAAGTCAAACTGCACAGAGTCACAGTTAGTCATCGTCATCGTCATCGTCGTCATCGTCGTCATCGTCGTCATCGTCATCGTCGTCATCATCATCATCGTCATCATCGTCATCTTCATCGTCGTCATCGTCTTCGGTATTTATCTTCCCGGAAAGCACGTCCTCTATCCAGTCCTCCAGCTCCTCGGCTGTGGGCAGGTCATCATCATCTCTGATGTCCATCCAGACGCTGTCAGCCTGCGGGGACAGGTGATGAGGGGTTAGCTGCCCTCAGGGACACAGGGAGGAGGCGGGGTACACGGCTGTTGGGGGGTGAGCTTTGGAGCACGGCTGGGCATCAGCTCCCTCTTTCTACAGCCTTGGGCGTCTCTCTGCCAATGCACTGGGATCAGCACCTCCCCCAGGAGTGCTGCTGTGGCTGACCAGGGCAGTGGGACTGGTCAGCAGGTTTACAGGAGTGTGTGGTGCCGTGTGCCCCGATGAGATGTGTGCCTGCTGCCTACACCTGTGAGCAGGAGCACTGCCCACCTGATGCATTCCTTGCTCTATCTGGACTGATCTGTAGACTCCAAGTCTGCATAAAGAGTTGTCAGAGACCTCTGCCAGCACCTGCTGCATCACCCTGGCTTGCAGACATCACAGTGTTTCCCTCCTTCCATCCAGAGCCCTTCTGGGACCTCTTCCTTGGAGCCTTCACAACCCCCTGACAGCACTCTTCCTCCCCAGCCTCTTTTACAATCACCTTTTCCTCAGGACCTTGCTCTGAACTCCATGTGTGATAATAATTCCTGCTCTTGGAAGACCCTTCCCTTAGATCACCTCATGCATACTCCCATGCATGGCTGAGATGTACAACATGCATCTCAGCTGAAGAGTGGTGAGAAACACCAATGCCCTGGGCTGCAGGTGCCCGTGCTCTTTCCCTCTGGCTGGCTGCATTACTTCCATTAACCAAAGGGGATGGGAGAATTCAGTAAGAAGACAAAGACAAATCTGTGACTATTACCCAGGGACAGCAGGCTTATTTGGTCTCTGAGGTCTAGAAATGCAAGTTTTCCTCTGCTTTGCTATAGGTTCCTTGGGTAAATGCCTGGATAAGACCCTTCCCATTCACTGTCTCTCCTCCATAAAACAGGATCAGACTCCTCTTTTGCAGAGGCACTGTGAGGTTATCTCATTCAGCATTTGAGGTTGCAGAATCATCTTCGCATACCAGAAGATTACCAGCTTTTGCAAGTGCATACAACTTCTTTCCCTGTCTGTGGTACCTAATTCTCTTCGATTTATGGCTTGCTAAAAAGCCAGAGCAATTTCTGCTCAAGGAAAGCTGTGTCTCCCATACAATATTTTCCTCCTAAATCACCAAAACTATAATAAAAAAGAATACTGGAGAGGCATGCAGCTCTTGCTTCACTCAAATGTTCATGTCCCTAACCTCAGAACTGTTTGTGCAGCAAAAAGTGACACTTCTAAATAATGGGAAGAGGAGTGGCTCCATTTGACATCAAGAAGGTGCTGTGCAAATAAAGCAGTGATATTTTGCAGGGCATCGTGGCCCTAGTCCTGAGCCACCACAGTCACCACAATGTGATGAGCCAGCTGGGGCTGCTGGGAGCTCTGGTGTTTGCATTGGCAGGTTTTTACAGAAGTGATGGGGTCACGAGGGTTATGTCCACTGAAGCCAACGGCAGTGTTTATTTTCACTCTGTTGTGTAAGTCCCACTTTGTACCTGTGTAACTTGGCTCAATGCAGTGATGTAACACTGAAATAACAAAATGAGCTCAATGTTTGTTTAAGATATCACCCGCCAACCTAGAACTTTCTTAAATCTCTCTCGAGAAATAGAAAAAGGACTTAAGAGGAATGAAATAAAACCTGCAAATACTGTAATCAAAAGCCTGAAACATTTACTGTATCAAAGCCAGACAATGTATGAGTTTTTACAGGTCTCTGAGTGGCTGCTGAATAATAAGGCATATGTTCTTATCTAATTTTGTTTTCTATATGATTCTCATGCTGCTGACAATCCTACTCCCATGAATTTCCACTGATTACACTGTTTAATGTAGCTTTGACATGACTTAAACTTGACCAGTCACAGTAAATATAAGGGAATGAAGGGAGATACTGTATTGAGGGCATGTATTAAGGGCATAAGACTGGAAGACTTGGGTTCTCTTTCCAGCTTGTCTGTTCATTTCTCCCATGAACTTAGGTGACAGGTGCTATTTTGGCCCTTTTTTCTTTTGTCTGTCCCTTTACAATTCTAACGTTAAGAAGCGTTAATTCACTGGGTCTTCACTCTCTAGGTGTCTGCTCCATGGTCTGGTGGAGTACTGCTCTATTACGGGCAAAAAGCTCACATGCAACCAGGGCTGAAACTACTCTGTGACTCCCAAGTCAGCCTCTCAACCCTCTCAGTGGGATGAGCAAGATCCAGGGGCTCTGCTTTCTTCACAATTCCATTGCTTTTCCTTCCCCACCACGTCTCCCATGTTGTAGCCTTGCAGCATCTGTTACAGCAGGAGGCACAACCATCCAGCTGCACAACCCTTGCTGTCCCTTTTTACTGAGGTGATACAGGAGAGAGGATATGGAGGCTGGAAGCAAGGTCAGTGTTGAGCCAAATCAGAACCCAGCCCCATGCACTTGTCTCAGTTTTAAGTTACTTGCTGTTCTCTTCTGAAGAAACATGAAGTTCACTTATGACTCAAATTTCAAACATGAAGTCAAGCACCAATTTACAAACACTTCTGCAGTGGAGAGATTTCTGCTTCCAGAGACACTTACATATCCACACAAGTTCATTTTAAAGAGATTAAAACAAACACCCAGCACTTAAACATTAAAAATAAACTAAGGTAATAGGTGAGCCAGGCAGGAGTACGCTGCATTACAGGCTCTCTGATCATCCGGACTGTTATTGTCAGAATGAGGAAAGAATGGTTTCTCTCTGTGTCAGGGCTGTGAAGCATGTTACATTGCACTCAGTAGCTCTTCTGAGATCTCTCCTGGGGAGGGTTAGACTGGTCCCTCTCCCACCTGCCTTAAAAGCCCACAGTGTGCAGGCAACATGAGATCAGCCCCAAGTCTTTCTGGCCTGAAGGCAACCACAGTGAAAACAGAAGCTGCTGAAAGTTGTCCCAGTAGCGCAGCTGGGTGCTCTGGGTACTGCTGCTCCCTCAGCTGTGCCAAAGCAGCACCTGCATCTGCAGGTCTCCCTCTGCAGCTGCTGCCTGCGGGATGGTGTGGAAACCTTCACTGCCACCAGATGTGGGGCTGGCAGATCTCCGCTTCCCACCCAAATCCCTCCAGCATTACCTACACAACAGTGGCTGAAGGGGAGGAAGGCCTGGATGAACCCCAGCGTACCCTCCTTGCCACAGCAGGATCCCTTGATTACCAGTTTATGCTGTGCTTCTGTTAAAGCTGTGTATTTATTTAGCTTTTTTCAAGCTGTGCAGTTTCTCCTTGTCATCTGTTTGGGATAATTTTTCCCTCCTACACTCAAGCTATGCCCTTTTGCTTCTGCAGAAAAAAAAACCCCTCCTTTTTCTCCTCTTCCCCTCCCCTAAGCATGGCTTTCTTTACCCCCTACACACACTTTTTCTCCACAAAGTCACACAAGCTGATGGAGCAGAAAATGCACAGAGGTACGTGCTGTGAGTCGGGGTGGAAATGCAAGACCTTGAAACCAAAAGTGGGCAAAGCCCTGAATTCCAGGCCACAGAGGCTGATGTTGTCCTCAGCAAATGTGGTCTGTGTGTGATTTGGCAACAAACACACTCAGACTAAAGCCCTCAAGCCCTACCTTGGAGGTGTTCGAAACCCTGCGGCAGGTGTTACAAAGCGCTGGTGAGTTCTTCATGTTTTTTCCTCAGGGGAAGAAAAGCCTGTTCTACCTGTACTTAACAGTGGAAATCCCACTGATTTACCTCAGGATGTACCTCAGGACCCAACCTTTCCCGCACCCTAATTTTGGGATCACTGGATTTTCTGGGCACATGCTACTCACGTCCGTGACGTTCACCACCCCGATCTGTGGTCTGAACAGGTCAATCTTGAAGGTCTTCTCCCAGTAAGTGATGAGCTGCAGGAGTGAGACACAAGACTCAGACAGGGGTGTTTTCAAGGCCCCATTGCATTAGCTCAGTCAGCTGGGCTGTGGAGCTAGGAATGTGCATCCATGTGTGCACAGGAGAGAGGAGAGGCCGAATGCAAGCTTGGGCTGCCAGACTTGGCAAATCAAAGTGCCAATTCCGGAGGTGTTCCCAAGACAACGCCTTCTTGGGAGGCAGACCCAAACAAGCAGCTTTCAAGGGGATGGCCTGAGGTCCAGTTTCCCATCCTTCCCTGTCCCAGATTCCCTGGGGTAATTCCTGCACCCTTGTGTGCACATGCACACCCACACACACCCCCTCATGCCCATCCCAACCATGAATTAAATCCCAGACAGGCAAAGAGCCTCTGCCACTCACCAGAGGAAAGTCATCAGGGTCAATCCAGACAATGCTCAGGTCGGGATTATCGGTGTTGTCCCTGGCAACCTGCTTCAGGATTTCCAGGAACTCAAAACCATCTGAAATGATATATGAACTACTGCAACTCTCCTGCAAATGCACAGGCACTTTTTGCTTGTGGGGTTTCCAGCTTCCCTGGCTCCCCTATGCACACAGGAGTTGTTTATAGTTCTCATTAAAATGCTGTCTCCCAGCGCTTTCTTTTGATAATAAGGCTTTTAATTTCAAGCATCCTCCTCGGGTATTGAAATTAGTTACACATGAATTAAGCCCCATAATCCTTCCGTGGAGTAGAACAATGTCACTATTTTCTTGTGGTGAGGGAGGAACTGAGCCCCCAAGAGGCCAAAGCTTTCCAATTTGCTGATGGCTCTGGGAAGCACGGATGCCACAGCCTTTCAGGAGCCGGTGGCTTCAGGTTTCCGGCATGCCTATCCCACACCCAGCCCTCAGCATTCTCCCAGAGCCACACAGCAAGATGGATGCAGAGTTAGGGAGTGAATCCTGTTACTGGGGTGGAGGGCATGACCTTTTTTCCCAGGCAATCATCCATTTTTATCCAAAATTTGAGTCCTGGCTAGCATACCTGCTAGCATTAACACCCAGAAGCATCCTGGCACCCACCCCAGTAGGCTGGGGCTCCCCATCCTGGCCAGGGTTCTGGGCTCCCTGGGCTCCACACTCAAAGCACATGAAAATACGCTTTGTTGAAGGATGGAGAGCCACACAAGGAAGAAAACAGCCTCCTACCTGGGTCATCTTCTTCAGCAAAGGCTACGATGTGGATACCCTCCATGTCATCCTCCTGGAAACAGCACAACTATTACTGATGGGCCAAGGAGGGAGGATAGTGTCTGGGTGGTTGCTGGAGATAAGGAGCAGTGGGATGCCTTCAGAAAGGTCAGTTACAAAGAGAGGCTTGACCAGAGCCCCACTGAGAAACCAAAAATGGGAGCTCAGGTGAGGCTGACTCATGAAGGTATTTAGTGCTAAAGGGGGTAGTTTGGGTTGTGCTGCTGAAACTCTTCAGATAAAAATGAGGTGGGCACCATGATGGCAATGGCAAGGGAGCTTCTGATGAAGTGAGGAAAAAGCTTCTCTGCAGAAAAGGTCAAGGGCTCTAGCACAAGGATAGAGGTTCCCCCTTCATGCTTCCCCCCCCACCCTCATAAATTTTCAGCTCCCAAGTTACAGTTTGCAAGGAAACAAATATCTGCCACCATGCTCAGCCCCAAAACATGCTCCTTTGGGGCTCACAATTGCATCACAATATGAGAGGCAAGGTGGCTCATTTGGGCCCCTTTATGGGGACTGTGCTTTAGGTGAGGGTCTCTGTGAGCAGTGAGGAAATTGAGTGGGGGCTCATTTCAGGGCTCCAATGAGTAGAGGACAGAAATTACAGCCTGGTGGATTACTTTTCTCCATGAAACACGAGCAATGATATTGGCAAAGGCCAATGGATCTGCTGGCCGGTTCATCATCTGCCTGCTATGAATGTCATCTCTGAATTATCCCATGGATCGGTTTCGCCTTCCTCACCCGCTGTCGGTCCCAGTTTCCATTTCAATTGGTTTTAATGCAAGAAAAAATTCCCATCTAAATGCTAATTTCTTTTCCCTTCTGAGCCCAGAGGTGACAAAGCCACCATCAAATACTGAAAGGGAAAAAACCCCCTGAAAGATTAAGTGGAAAACATTATCTTTAAAAACAATAGCGGATGCTCAGCCTTTGTGAACGTCTTCAGGGAATACATTTTCACCAGGACATTCTAGGCAGATTTACTTGGGATTCAGACCACTTACAGTTGGCAAAATTTATACTGTTGCTTTTTCTTCGTATTTTCCAGCAGCACTGTCAGACAGCAAAATTAAAAGTATATATCTATATGCTGTATATAATTACACGTATATACCTATATAAAGCATCTCTGTTCTGGCCTACAAGGCAGCACACAAAACTGGACTAACTCCAGTGAAAGCAGTGAGGATGTTGTGAACTTTCAGTGAGATCAGAATCCAGCCTCTGCAGTTATGAGCCCACTGCACATAGCAGAGGCAAGTTCTGTATTCCCAGGCTGCTGGTTGAGCAAGCATCCCACCAGTGGGAATTCACGCTTTTCGTGAAGCTGTTTTAGAATATGGTCAGTATGAAAGTGAAACCACTGCATGTGAAATTTGGGTCTCACTGAAGCCCCATTAAAAACCTTGGAGGGGCTTTGGTGGATCTTGGAAGCCGCATTCTACACAGAATCTTTATTTTTAAAAAAATGAAAAACTATTGTGCCTAAGGGACTCATAACTCCTGGTTCAGTTTTATTACCTCTTGCCTTGCTGTATTAAAGACTCCCAAGGTTTTGCCACTTTGGAGTCCCACGGCGTTTCATGTTACACAGCCAAGACAGGGACATCTGAATGCTGTTATAAATGTGTCTTCCAAAATCCTTTTGGAAGAATGACTGCATCTTCTTTAGTATCTGTAAAGCACCTGTTCAAGTCCTCTGTGTGTGAGAGGGGCCAAAATGCAGGTTATTTCTTCACAGCGGCCGATTTGCATCTTGCTTGCACTGTGAAGAGTGCAGTCAATGCACAATCTGCTTTGAAATCTGTATAATTAACTGTACTGCCTGCCTTCACTTCCATTTTGTATTGTACAACTGCTCTGGTACTTTTACAATGACATGTAGTGACAGAATTGGGGAGAATGGCTTTAAACTGAAAGAGGGTAGATTTAGGCTGTATGTTGGGAAGCAATTCTTTACCCTGAGGGTAGTGAGGCACTGGAACAGGTTGTTCAGAGCAGTTGTGGATGCCCCGGTCCCTAGAAGTGTGCAGTGTCAGGTTGGATGGGGCTTTGAGCAACCTGGTCTAGTGGAAGGTGTCCCTGCCATGGCAGGGGCTTGGAACCAGATGATCTTTAAGGTTCCTTTGAACCCAAAGCAGTCTATGATTCTGTGAGTTTCCATGAGACATCTGCACTATCTCCATAGCTCACCCAGTGAGCAGGCCACAGAAATCACCCCACCAGCAGCACTGATGTCCCTTAGCTGAGATGGAGCATCCTTGGGCAGGATCACTGCACAGGCCCCACACCTGCCTGGCACACCGCTTAGCTTTCCCTTTTCCTTCAGTGAAGCAAGAAGGAGCCAGCCCAGCTCTCCATCACTGCTCTGTGAAGCATTTGAGCACCCTGTTTGAACTGAGATTCTACGCATCGCAGCCAAGGCTTTCCCTTTTTCCCAGAAGAGAGAGAGGAGCTTTGCAAGGAAAGAAAGGTAATGCTTTGCCCAGTCAGAGGCCAGAGCTCTTGAGCAGCAGTTTCTTGTTGGAAGCTGGCAGGGGACAAAATGGTTCCCAGCACATGTGCTTACCCACGTCTCAAACATGTCCTCTGGGCGCAGCTTCCTCAAGGTGGCCCTGAAAGGAAGACAGAAACGCTCTTTGAGGACATATCCAGCACTGCCACACGTCAGCATCATGGGAAAGGTCACTGTGGCACGTTTGGCTGGTGGCTGGAGTCAGTCACCACATTTTGAATGCAAGAATGCAGGTCAATTTATGCCTTTATTTGTGCTGATAAAACCCTGTCCATGGCCCCACTGGAGTCACTGTAGCCACTATTTCTGCTTGAGAAGATGAGATGCCTCTCTGTGCTGGGATGTGCTGATGAATTAGTCTCACACATGGCAGACTGTTCTGTCTGTGCTGAGAGCATGAGACAACATTCACTTTTGTTCTGGTGTCCCTGGGACATTCCTAATGGGCTCTGTCCCCCCTTTCTCCTGGTTTCACCCCAGCATAATTTCAGAACAGAAATCCTTCCCACCTCTGCTGAAGCAAGGAAGACAGAATAAACTCTGGGAAGAAAATTTGGACCCTAACAACCACTGACAAGTAAATTTAAACCCTAAGACTGGTCAAAACAAATTTTTTGAGAAGTAGCTCATAAAGGAGAAAAGATTCATAGCAAATATTTTCAGGCATATCTGTAGCAGGAAGCCCATCAGAGAGCCTGGAAGGCTGAGAGTTGACTGGGGTGTTAGAGGGACACCCAAGGAACACAAAGCCATAACAGACAAGCACAAATAATCCTTTGCACATCTGCTTGCTATGGTACCAGCTGTTTGGGGAGGATCCCCCAGCAGAGCAGGTCTTCCTGGCTGACCTGCCCCAGGAGCTGCTGCAAAGAGAAGTGTCAGTCTATGAGGTTTTAGAACAGATTGGTAGAAGTGGCAGAGTGCTGCCAGAACCAGGTGGAATAAGTGAGACCTGTGTAACCTGTCACTTCAGTTTGCCTCACATACAGAGCCATGGAAACAAGGGAACATTTTTTAGAGGTTGCTAAAGGACCTGAGGAGCCACAGAAGTGAGTTCCAGTTAGATCAGAGGAGGGGAATCTCCTGTGGATTAATAACATTGAAGGGTGGAAATGAATGGTCAGTTTTCCTGACAGAGGGAATTAAACAATTAAGATTCATAGCATATTCTTTGGCATGATTATATGCATAATATAGCCTCACATAATCTGAAAAGATGGGAAATAGTAATATGGCAGTATTTGCTTATCATATCCAATTTTTTTGGCAACCAACAAAGGCCTGGCTATGAGTTGATACAGAGGATCTCCTGAGACTTGAGTGTCTGCTTGATAGACAGACATATAGCATGTAACACGCTTGCAGAAAACCAGCCCTGACTGTACAGGTGCAGCAATTGGTTCTAAATTAGTTGTAATTAATTGTTGCCTCTCAGCAAAGGGGCCCAGGTGTCAGAAATGGAGAAAGAATCAGCTCCAAAGGAAAAAGGCCAAAAGAAGGTTTGCAAACAGTTGGGTAGTGGCCAAGGAGTAAAACATACCATTGTGGCAGTGGACAGCTACTCTGTGAACCTGCACAGTGGAATGTATGTGTAGTTCTGATCATCCCATCCCAGAAATTACATGGACAACTGAAAATGGCACTTGGAAACATGGGAACGGTGAGTGAAGGTATGGAATGACCCCTGTTTGATGGAGATTAAATAGATAAGAATTTGTTATCCTGTAAAAGAGGTGACTGAAGAGAGATTCAGCAGGTATTCTAAAAAATTTGGAATGGTAAAGAAAACGTGAATAGCTTAGAATATGGCCAAGGTTCTAATAAGGTCAAGGTTTCAGATTTGACTCCTACACAGGCCATTCACTTAAAAGTTGGACTTGATGATTCTTGTGAGTCACTTCCAAATCAGAATATTCTGTGTTTCTCTCCCTACAGATTACCTTAAGTATTAATTGTTGTTCCCCTTACGACAAGAGTTAGTAGGTGCCCAGAGAAATTATTAGATAACAGGTATAAGCTAAGCAAGTAACAATGGTCTTTTGATACAATGCATATTTCAGCTGCTGAACTCATTACAATTTGGTACATTCAGCATCAAAACAGAAATAAGGTAAAAACAGCTATAGAAATTGAAGAAAAAGCCACTAAACACAAGACCAGGGATATAATTTTTGAACTAGCAAGTCCTTTAATTGTTGGTGGTCCAAAACTAGAGATTAAATCAGGTGAATGCACATTATGTATTTAGGCATACTTGTACTTGGCTTTTAAGACACTTTCTCTAGCTGTTCTGTGGGGGAAGTTCCTGGAGAAAGGAAACTTAGTGGGAAGGATCTGGCCACACCCACGCATACTGATCTCTGTGTTGACTCTGGATACTTTCCTGTGTTGGAGGAGTGAGGCAAGTGGGGTTTGGGTAAGTGAGAGCAGAATTTAGCCCCCATGCTGCTACACCACAATTGTAGAGAAGTGCGGGTTCCAACCCCAGCATTTTGCATGTGAAAGAGGCATCAGCCCAGAGGACTGCACCATGTAATTTGTATTTGTGCGACTGAGAGTGAAATTTGGGCTGAGACCTTGGAGTGGCAGTGACCACCATGCCCGGATAGACACCCGTCCGTGCAGCCATGGATGAGTCACCCCATGGTGCTGAGCATGGGCTTCCTGACCTTCTGTGGAGAGGAAGAACTTTCCCACCACAGCCTGCAGCTGTGCAGGGAAGCCTCAGCTGGGAGGCTGTGCATGAGCTCCTCCTGGGCACCTGCTTCAGCTCCTGTCTTGAGGTAGCAGTGAAAGCTCAGCAAATCCCAGTTTCTGTGCAGGATTGGAGGAAGTGGTAGTGAGCCCTTCCTGGGCAAAGTAGTGGGAAAGCTACTTTTGGAAGGGGTGTTTAGAGCATGTCAAAGCATCTGGGTACAGCTGACCAATGGTAGCTTTTCCTGGTGATGTGATGGGGCTCCTTCAGTGGGATGGAGAGATGGCAGGGGGGCTTTGCATATCCTAGGAGGGATAGTCCATGCCTATGAAGAGAGAAAGTCTGCTGTGTGAGGGGGAGGGAGCACCTGGTCCTCTATACCTTCCTGCAGGAAATATCCTGCTGAGCTGTCTATAGGGAGCCAGCACGTGGCAGCTGTTGAGGTTGCTTCATTTTAATCTACAGATCATCTCCGTGTCCGACAAATTCCAGCCTGTGGCTTTAGGGCCTTTAGTGGTGGCAAGGCAGGACGAAGCACTTCTGCTCTGAGAAGCTCAGCATGAACTACTGGGAACATATCACTGTCACTGCAGGCTTCTTCCCATGCCATGGCAGCTTTGGGATTTCAGACATATGGTCTTATGGACCCTTTAATTATTTTCTGAGCTTTGGCACTTGCAAAATACATGGCCCACCCCCTTCCTTCTACCAAGCACCACAAAACATCTTGAAATATCCAAGATTTGGGGGAATTCTATTGCGATTTTGTGCTGGTGAAGAGTTTGCTTTGTTAGGATAGCATTTAGATGGCTGTGCTTAATCAGGCTTCTGATGCTGCTGCTTGACAGAAAGAACTTGGGGAAAAGAAAATGGGAAGGACTAAAGCTAAGAACCCTAGAAGGTCAGCAAAGTGAATTGTGGGTACACAGAAGATAGAGGAGCCCTTCATATTTCAGAAAAAGCAAAGAACTGTTTCTGGTGAGTCTTAGATTCTGGAGATGATCTCCTGTCTGTGTGAACACAGACCTCCAGGTGAGCCTGACTGGAGATCACCCCTCTATACAGATGGCCCTGCTTTCCTCAAACAGATCTGGTCCCTTGACTGTCTGCTGAGAAATGCAGTTGCAGGAGCAGCAGATAGCCTGAGTGACTCTCCTGAGGGGTGTTTCTAAGGGTATAAAAATACAGCACCTCTGGCCAGTTGTGCCCCCATACTTAACCTTGTGCTTTTACACTGGATCAGCCTCTCTGGTGACTTCAAGACTATTTTTGTAGCTGAGTCCCTAAACAACTGTGTGATAAACCTGACTGCAAAAAGCACGAGCATCCACAGCTCCCGCTGAGCTGATCAAACACTGTGGGTGCCCAGCATTGTTCCCACACAAGGTTCAACACAGCCATAACAGCTGTAGCTTCTTCTCTGTGCCTACGGTCAGCAGGAGCCTCTTAGTCCCTTGTGGTTCCTCTGAGTGTGGTCTGAGCTCAGAGACTGCCTCCAGACATATCTGGCATCAGGGGAGGAATACACCCATTAGTAAAGCTGTTTTCGGGGAAGAGGGGGTTGGGCAGCATTTGGATTTGGCTTGAGAAGGGTCATCTTCTGTACAGACCTAAATTAAAAGCATGGGCAATTTGGGCAGAGGATTTCACTCTCCACTGCTTTCCAGCCTCAGTGCTTTTTTGAGTTAGGACTAACCAGGGAGTAGGAAGAGCAGGAGGAGGGAAACTGTGTTATCACAGCTCCACTGTGGTGAACTATGACTGCTGTGCAGATACTTACACCTCTGGGACTAGGAAAAAACCAGCAATTTCACAGTTTCAAACCTGGGTCATAAAATCATCAAAAGTAGTCATCATCCTAATTTTTTTGAGAGCGATGCCCTAGAGAGGCAAGGTCACAATGACAGACACCTAACCCACTTCCCTTTCCAGGAGTATCCTGTGTGCTACATACCTTCTGTGCTCTCTCACAAAATCAACCAACTCCTCTTCCGAGTAGGGCTTATCGGGGATGTGAACAGGCTCATCCATAAAGGGTTCATAGAAGTCCACCTCATTCATCTTTAGGCCTAGCTTCTTGGCAACCTGTTGCAGTGCAGAAGTCACAGGTGAGAGAGCCTGATGTGCCTCTTTGCCTATCCAGAGTCTTTGCTGGTGGCAGAGCTGGGATCAAGGTGCTTGCTCTCTCTCTCTCTGAGCATGCACTCCTAGGGGTGGCCCACAAAACATCTTTGTTTAAAAACTCACTGCTGCCCCCTGCACTACTGGTGTCAAGCAGTGGGGCAGAGCAAAGCCACAGCCCAGGGCCTGCAGACCTGGAGGGGCTGGGTTCCAAACCCACATCAGGACCTGCCTCCATGCTGCAGCTCCTTTTATCTTGTCTTTATCTTGTCTTTATCTTGTCTTATCTTTTATCTTTATCTTTTATCTGCCAAAATATCAATGCAGACACCAACACCACAAAATCCAGGAATGCTGAAAATGAGAAGCCGAAACCAGACAATAAATCTGGGAACATCCTGAGCTCTCAGAAAACTGGTGGTGGCGTATGTGAGCTACCATGAAGATGTGTGGATGCTTACCCCTTTGTCAAAGGTGGCAAAGAACTTGACATAGGGCTGGAATTGTTCAGCAGCTTCTTCAAATGCCTTGTAATCTGGAAGGAGTAAAGGGGAATGAAGAAGATATTTCACAGACAGCTGGCCACACTTGGATCAGCCCAGAAGGTACTGGGGAAGGACAAACAAATACAATACAAATAATACAAATTAGTAGTTTCACATCGCTCAGGGCATGGGACCAGCCTCTTCCCAGTGTTGGGGGTCAGCATGGAGGAACAGATCAATGCCAGGCTGCCCCAAAGGGCCCCGCTTACTGCTGCTGTTTGTTTGCCACAGCAGTATTTAATCCGTGTCCCCCTTTCCCTTCCCTCCTTCCGTCTTTGATCCTTTGCGCTCCTTGCTTACAAGAAGGGGCACTTTGCTCCTTTTAGTTGCTCTCTCAGTGCAACTGTAACCTCAGCTGATTTTTGGGTGAGGTAAACTCACTTTACTGCTGGAGCCTCTGGATTATGGCCCTCCTCTCTTGCCAGCAGACACCTTGCAGAAGGGTCAGCGATGTTAGGGTAGGACTGGGCTCATGCATTATGCCAGCAGAAACTTGCCTGCAAATGCACTCATCCTCCAGCAATTTTCACTCTGTCACAGGCTGCCACATACCACAACACCCTTCATGTTCATGCAGAACAACCAGTGCCTGGCCCCTGGAACTCCCAGGCAGGCTGCAAGGCCCATGAGGAACACGTTTATCTTACGTTCTGAGTCTTCTCCCTTGAAGTAGCCGATGAGTTTGATTTCGTCGTCGATCTGGTCAAAGGCCTGAAGCTCCAGCTTGCTGTTTATGACCTCCACGGGGTCTTCTAGCAACTGCCACGACAAATGCATGTGGTAACACAGTGATTTGCAGCACCAACCTATGCCTGGCAGGGTATGCCACAGGCAGGGAGAAGGAGGTCACCCAGTTTCTCTGCTGTTGGAAACCTCTGCCTTAGCATGAGGAGCAGATGAGAAGCAGGTCACCTTCAAAGGGAGGTGTTAGTATGTTCACTGCAGAGGTGGAAGCATTGAGAGGGAGGCTGATAGAGGATGGGGTAACCCAAATGAATGCTGAAGGACCTACTGTGATGGGGGATAAGGAGTAGCAATTGCCCTGGCTTTAAGGAGGCCAAGAAGAAAGAAGAGCAGTTGAAAGGAGCCGGTATGATCATTTTGAACATCTGTGAATGATACTTGTGTACCTAAATCTATATATAGTTTTTTTTCAAGTGTCATTTGCTGGAAGAGGTCATTGCAAAGATCTTGCTTTTGAAAAATGTTAAAACCAGCATGCTAGAGTGGTTTTGAGCAGTAGAAAGTCTGGATGTGAATTTTCCTGGCTGATCCTCCTCCTATGCAAAATAGTTTAAAACTGTTCTTTGGTCCTACACACATCACAATGTTAATGAGGAAGTTGGAAGACCTGTCTGTCACTTTAGACTGTCATTGATCCAAACTTTGTTTCCCTTTTCTTAACTAGTCACTGCTGGTGAGAAGGTTCATTCTGATTATTTTGCCCAGCAATAGTGGTATAAATCAAGTGTGCTTTCACTTGAAGAAAAAAAAAAAGCAGGCAAGCCACAGCCTACAGAGGAGTAGAGAACCTCTGGGTTTATTTTAGTTTTCAGCTCAGGCTGACAAGGCACCACAGACATGTCCGGTTTTATTTCCTTGCTTTGCCAGGTATTTTCCTTCCTGAATGGAAAACACAAAACCAGAAATCCTTGTTCTCTTTTTTCACAGAACATGATTTTTCAGTGACACACCAGATGGCATAGCAAGCAAAACCTCATGAAGTACCTTACAGCATCCTTGAGAGCGATGTTACAATGTGAGGCTGTGCCTCTGTTGGGCCTGCAGCAGCATGTGCAGTTTCTTGCTGTCATAGTGGCCTGAGCCATGGGAACCTGGGATCCCACTGCTGCAGGGTCATGGCAAAGCTCTGCCCTGTTTGTAGTCCTTATGGGTGGGGCAGATGCCCATTTCTGTCCCTGAAGCCACTTGCATGTGTTGTGGTCACAATACCCAATGCATGCAGCCACAGACATTGCCAAGGGAGAGCTGAGGTCCTAAGGATCTGTTTTAATTCCCTGACCATGCCTCTCCTCACCAGCAGCCCTGAACCACAGGTAACTGTGTAGGCAACCTGCCACCCTGGGAAACAAACCCTGGCAGCTCTGCTGCTCACCTTACCTCCCTTATCTGCATTACTGCATGGCCACTTACAAAGAAAGCAAGCCTCACTTCAAAGGAAAGCCAAGCTGCTGCAAAATGTTTTCATTTATAAAGCAAAGACCACGGTTCTGGTCTGTTGCCTCTCCTAGGAATAAAATGCAAATAAAGTGCAACATGTAGGTGTGGGATTCAGCATCCCTTTTGCATTTAGGCACAAAGGTGATTACATCATCGTGCCCATGCACAAAATGACCCAAGAATGTTTAGTTCTAGCACCCTGATCTCCTCTCACCTGTGGCAGTGCAATTTGGCATGTTCACTGAAGAGATGCTATGTTGCTTGTGTCTAGAAATGGGCAAATAGTTTGCAACATAAGCCTTTTTCAATGTACTGAGGTCTTTTTAGTTGCTCTATGAGAATCCTACTTCTTGGATATTCCTATTTTGAAAATAGCTCTTTAAAAAAAAGAGAAAGAAAAAGTGTGAAAGATTTTGCAAATGGCAGTGTTTGCACATGAGCTTGCTAACTGAGGTGGGTGAACAGCAGTCCATTATATAGATCCTAGCTGACTTCCACTCAAATACTCTGTAAACAGGAAAGAGGGGAGGTTGCCTCTAAGATATAAAGTAATTAGTGGCATATAAGGGTACCACCTTTCCTGGGAACTTGTGGTCAGATAGGTGTTGGGGAAGATGTCAAATGCCATCTCTACCAGTGAATAGCAAACAGGGATGAAATTTCAAACAAAGGTACATTTGGTTTTTTTGCAAACTAAGTATTTGCAGGGTCTTCCCCAAGAGGTTTTATCTAGCTCTGAGCTTATCTGTGCTTACATCCAAGAGAAATTCCACCAAGACATCTGCAGACAGTTCCCCATCAAACTCCACCAACCGCTCGTCCTTAAAGACATAGAGACTTCCCTCTTCAACCAAGCCTGAAAGAAGAAGAGGGAAAACAATAAGTGATTAATATGTTGTTGAGAGCATGTTTAGTGCAGAGTGTCTTGCTTGTTAGCCCAGCAGTTCCTCCCGGGAAAATACAGTTGCCTGTTTGCTGTGTCGGTCTAGTTAGAAGATAACAACCTGAATAGTCCCCTGACTGATGTTTCATGACATAGGGGACAGACTTCAGTCAGAACTGGTGCTAACTTCTTCCCAAATGTTGAACTCCTCATTCAGGTCACAGTTTGGTCTCAGCTGGAAAAATTCTGCACCAGAACTTGTTTTTGCTTGGCTGTCTATCTTGCAGTAAATACTGGGCTGTAACTGACAGCTCAGATTTTGACAACCTGTCACTATATAGAAAAGGGATTTTGATTCTGGTTGTGCTCATTGTCCAGAGAAGGCTGAACAATGTGAACGTCACCAGTGACCTGAAAGTGAGCTTCAAACTGTCTGAGGCTTAGCTGGCCTTGGCAAAAGGGTTAGAAAACAATGACAGAGATACTACACACCGCAGGATGACAGATTTCAATGCTATGTCACTGGACTGAGGACTGAGTGCCACAGAACCTTGTTGAAAGCTCCAAAATCAATAGCACTAGCCTCCTGCAATGTGGTATGGCAGGGTACCACTGGCCAAGGAGGTTTGTAGTTGGCTCCTTCTTGGAGATGAAGAAGCTCTTGCCTTTAGTTTAGCTCCCATTAGCACTCACAGCCTCTAATTTAGGGAAGAGAATTATAGTCTAGTATGCTTAAACCTTAGGTTTAGTGGTATATTTGTGTACTGTTGTACTAATGTGTCAGAGTGTTTCCATATTGCTTTGTGGGCTAAAATACGAAGGAACTGCCAGCCCCTGGAAGGCAGCTGTGTCCAGGGGAGGGCAATGGAGCAGCCTTCTACCTTCAGACAGATTTCCTTTTTCACTCTGGTGAACAAGTCAGAATGATTGGTACCTGACTGCCAAGCAAGGCTGTGGCTGCCCCAATTGTTGACAGGGGTCATTTTGTCATGGGGCTGATCATTTGGGGGACTAAGCGTTTTCCCCACATGTTCTGGTTCTGCACTGATGTGTTGGTCCTGTCTCTGTGTAGGAAGAACAGGAAGTTACTCCACAGCATCTATTTACTATTTTTGTGCAGAAAGCTGTGAACTTACACCCTTTCATCATTACAGCATGAATTGCCTTGCTTTTTTGCTTGGTTCAATTTGTTTTGGCAAACAGACCCTTTTTCTGGAAGGGTCCTGGCTTGTCTCTCTCATCCTCACTCCCACCCTGATCTTGCCCCTGTTG